ATTTGATTTGCAATGACTTTAAATAGCATCCCCTAAAATATGATAAATTCTTGAGGGTAAATATGTCGCAGACCTTGACTTTGACTACGATAGTTCAACTTCACCGATTTTGACAGTAATCTGTCCATAGGGAAGATACAAATTCCCAAATAAATAAAGCGGCTAACATGGTCTACAACTTCGCTTCCTATCGCCAAGCTAGGAGTAGATGCAGTCCTGTCATGCAGTATCATCTTATATGTGACAGGAGTTAATCGCATGTCAAAAAGTCAGAGATTACTACTCAAGGTGTTCAGAAGATTCTGCATTTTGCCGTCCCCTTCACCTAGGAGGGCTACATCATGCTCGTACTCCAAGTGAGCAAGACTTATCCACGGTAACAGTTCAGTCTCTAAGTTGCTGAAAGGAAGCAGAATTTAGATTAAACGACATGAAATGGAATGTTCAAATAGATGTATCGTATTCTATCGCTGATGCAGTATTGAAATTTAAGAATATGTGACAATCATATTCCGTTGGAACACGTTGTTTGTATCTCACCACTACAACCAAAGTTCTTTCTATTGATTTCACCTCCATTATCTGTACCGGAAATATCAGGATTTTCCAATGGGATGCGGTTAAATAGCGTTCAAGTTCCTTCAGCGATGAGGCTGTTACTTTGAATGCTGTTGGGTGTTCGGACAACATCAGCACATGATGCCTTCAGGTGAAAAACCGGCGAATATGAACCAGGGCCATGTAAACTGCTTCCAAAGTGGGAAAGACCATACATGGTCACCATAAGACGGGCTTACGTATATACGATCAGAAATGCAAATAAACGGAAGCGGATAAATGTCAGCGAGCTGCTGAATTCGATGCAGGAAGAAAAGCCAACGTAGCCACCAGCATCAAGAAGATCGGACTGACTTCAGTCGAAAGTGTTTGACGTGGAGACGGTTGTTGTGGTGCAATAAAGACGGAATATGATTCTCACATATTCCCACAGTTCAGTAACAGAATAGGATACATCTATTTGAACATTCTATTTCATGTCGTTTAATGTAAACCAAAATCACACGCTCAGTGGTTGGTTAATAAATATGAACTGGAAATATATAAACAGCGATTTGATTACTGAAAAATTTGCCTTGGCTTCCGTGTCTTGCTTGTTGCTGTGACGTGGTGACTAGATTGAAGAAAATACCTGCTGCCTTTTATACATATGACAACTAATACTGATTATCAGTTGGTTAATAAGAAGGTGTTTGCGAATACTGGTGAGTACTTCAGCATCACGGAATTCTAAAACAATCTGTTCCAAAAAGTTGATTGGTACGTTTAGACCCCACATGTTACAAACATGACTAAGCTTTCTATGTAACGATTTGAAAAATACTCCATTATCATTCTCCTTAATGTTTGTTTACACATTTTGGTTAGAGGTAGTTGGTAGTTTTCCTGTGCATCGGTGGCACAGTGGTTAGGACTCTCGCCGACCATGCACATGGTCCCGGGTTCGATCCCCTGCCGACGCACAACCGATATCTATGGTCAGCCTGCAAAATTTGGGCTACCGATATCCATGCTGAAAATGCCATACTTGTACTGAAAATACGGTGTGGCATCAAGCTGTAATCAAAAATTAAAATTAAAAATTAAATTAAAAATTTTGCTTTCAGACATAATGGGTGTATCCTATTTCTATTAAACTCCCCGAAAGCCTTAATTCTTGACATCGGTCGTTATACCTGATGTAGGTCCCTGTTGTATAGTGAAGTATCAGCACTGAACACTTACCTGAATGGGATGTAGACATTGGTAATCCACCTGTAACTAAGGTTACAAAAGCCGTCTCTAATCAGTAACGAGGCGGAGCAACAGAACCTAATGAAATGAATCTGGTGGTGTTTAAGGCTGGTGGTGACAAACGGTTTCTGAGGTTAACTGAGGTATTAGGTAATGCCTGTATTTCAGAGAAAGTATGTTGCACTCATCAAGGCACTCTACTCAAACTCACATAGTAGTGTGAGGATTTAAGCGGAGTTGTCATTTGAAGTGATGAAAATTGTTGTTGTATGTCAAAAATGACTGCTGTCTCCATTTCTGTTTAATATCATCATAGATGTATGGTGGAATTGACTCTAACATATTTCTGCGACTTAGGGAATAGAATTGTCGACTTACAGTAGGAGGATAATGTAGTCCTAAGTGACACTGCATGACAGGACTGCATCGACTCCTAGCTTGGCGATAGGAAGCGAAGTTGTAGACCATGTTAGCCGCTTTATTTATTTGGGAATTTGTATCTTCCCTATGGACAGATTACTGTCAAAATCGGTGAAGTTGAACTATCGTAGTCAAAGTCAAGGTCTGCGACATATTTACCCTCAAGAATTTATCATATTTTAGGGGATGCTATTTAAAGTCATTGCAAATCAAATCATGCCTGCACTCTTGGATTTAGTGAGGCTACGTATAGGGGCGAGGATACACAGCATCTCAATTCAAACTTGCCACGAATTCTTTTCAGCATGCTTGTGTAAGTAGAACGGAGGCGGTCAGTAACGGCTTGGAATTCCTCATGAATTTGATTTTGTATTACGGGCCTAGATGAATGCTGTAGTCACGTCATATGTTAAGTCTGGCTCTTTTGAAAGTGTTCGGTCAACCATTTTACATAGATAGAATATCTGTTGTGACGTGTGCTGTACTATCCTCGAAAACCTCATGATAACCTTTACCCTCACTCTAGGTACAGTATTCCGTTTACTCAATAGATGCGTTTTGCTGTACAATGAACGTGAATTTCCAGTTCATTAAAGAAATTTATGGACAACCAGATAGCGTTCACAGGGGATTATCCCTAGGCCCAATCCTAGCAGATTTTTTCCTGGCAAAACTAGAGAATGTTCCTTTTAAAAGTGTAACATACAATCTTGATTTCTTTTGCCGTTATGTTGTTGATACATTTATAGTTGTCAAGACAGAAAGTGATACTGAGGACATTTTGAGTAAATTCAATAGAGCACATTCTAGCATAAAGAAGAAGATGAAAATGACTCTATCCCCTTTTTGGACTTCCTAGTGTCTAAACTGATGGACGGAACAATATGTAGACGTTTATATCGAAAACCTACTTCCACTGGATATCATACTCACTTCCAGAGCTTCGTATCTCTACAATACAAACGTAATCTGGTTAGATGTCTGGTTCACCGGACTTGGGTTTTCTGTTCAAAAGAGACACTGAACGAAGAATTTGGTAATAGTCGCAATCTACTAAGTAGAAACGGATATTCAACTAAATTCTTGAACAAACACATGAACTCAAAACGTAAAAGGCCGAAGTTGCCAGCTGTTCTAGGGTTACAATTCGTGAGTGATGTCAATAGTGAGGTCTTAATCACGACGTCTGAGAAGGGCCTTCAGATGGATTTTCAACGCAGCTAAGCTATACTATGTATTCACTAGCCGACCAATACTTAGTTCAAGAAATAAAGACATACTGCCCTGTTTCACCTCCTCCATGTGTATTTGTAACAACAGAAGACAAGGGCCAGGCAACAGATCATTTATTAAGGAAATCAACGCAAATTTATATATTTCATGTACATTACTATGGATATTTAAGTAAACAAACACAGTCTTCCGATTGGTTGTTTCTCACGTAAAGTTAATCTTTCATCTATTTGTGACTGTTTCTTGAATGTCAAATCCTCTATATGTTAACTGCATCCGCCTACGCAAAGTCTGCTGTGGTCGGTTTTGAATCAATCTTTGTTCACATTTTCTCACGACAAATCTCGCGAACGTAAATATTGACGTAAATTACTGTCTAGCAATTCGGCTAGTAGACAGCTCTCACCACATATTCACCAGTTTAAATATACGTACGTAGCTAGATACATAGGGCGTACGATCAGGCTAGTTCATCGTCGCATTTATGAACACCTCCCATTTTAGTTTGGCAACGGTCCAAACAAAGCTATATGCAGCTCAGTGCTAGTTCATCTCGTCGATACTGGACATCAAATCGAGTCCAACAAAGCTTATACAGTTATTTATCGTACAACACAACCTGAAGCGCTACAATTCTGTACCAAGCTCTGTGTTGAAACTCAGTCAGTCAGTGTATTGTAAAAAATCACTCTCACCCTTTAATTAATAAGCACTTCACAGTTAAGTGTTGTTCGAAATTGAGCACATGTGTTTACAGGTTTAATTGACTTGTTTAGTCGAACAAAGACGTTCGAGCACATGTCACCTATTACTTTCATTCACACTGCGTTGTATCGTATCTACACGATTCCCCTGGCTACTGTTTCGATGGGAAATTAGCTTCTGTTATCTGTATTTGCTAAAATGTTAGCTTAACCGATGACCGAGTCAAAGACAAACAAAGGCGTAGCTGTTTTTATCACTTATTCTTTATCAGAAATGGAATTTCTTACCAGAAAACAAATCCTTTATGATATTATGTCTGGATTTCGATGCTAGGGAACAATATGATATGCAGTCTTATTTATCTGATGTTGACTCTAATTCACCGCATATCTTGCAAGAGCTTTTGTTTTAACTGCAGCACATTTCTAAAATATCAATATCTTGACTAATCTGCTTTCAGAATACATCACGTTTTTAGTGATGCCAGGCATTTATGTGTTGTGCTGTGCCTACTACGTTTATGTAGTGAAGTGCAGTAGCATACTAGAGCATTGTAAAATGTCTTTTCTGTTGTCTCAGAAGTGGTGATACTTAAAGATCAAGCGTACCAAGTTTCCTGTGATTACTGGGATGTTTACAACGTGTGAAAAGAGTGAAACAAACTTAGAGTTTCAGGGACATTTGGTATATTATTTGCACCTGATACGTACGTGTGTGTGTTTATCAATTTATGCGAGGATTTGAAAATTTACGACGAACATATCGTGATGTATTTTCCTTGGATGTCAAGTGGTTATTTTATTTGCTGTATTGTATTGCTTATTTCATTACCATAAGTTCAGATAAATGTGTATATAAGTATATATTTATACGAAGAAATAAATAACCTCAGCAACGAAACAACAAGTATTTCCATCAGAAAATGACATCACTATGTTCAGAGAATAGGGATATGCAATAAAACGTTTCCAGATATATTAGAAAGTGGGTAGATGAATAGCAGAAGACAAGAATTACAACACGCATGTAATACGGAATAGAAACAAACACCAAATATTGAAGAACGGAGGAAAACGGGATATCTATAATAAATATTTGAGTTAACGGTGGTATTAGAAAGCGTTAAGTGTTAACCAGGTGTTCACATAATATAAATAAATATAAGTTGCTTATTAAACATTCAACAACCTGCTACAATATTCAACCATACTGAGCGTTGTAGATGCAGTTGTTCGAGGGGAAGCAGATACAGAAGATGAACGCGTAGAAACAGATACTCGCGTAGATACGACTTTCGGTTGAGGAGTTGCAAATGGCTTAAAGGCTGTTGTCCTGCTTGTCATTACAGATGACGTTGCCACTGTTGATTTCGTGGTTGGTTTCAGAGTTGTGGTGGTGCTGGTTGTCTTTGTTGTTGTCTTGGTAGTTCTTGTTGTCGTTGATTTTGTTGTTGTTGCTGTTGTTGTTCTGGTGGTTGGTTTCTGAGTTGTGGTGGCGTTGGTTGTCTTTGGTGTTGTCTTGGTAGTTCTTGTTGTCGTTGATTTTGTTGTTGTTGCTGTTGTTGTTCTGGTGGTTGGTTTCTGAGTTGTGGTGGCGTTGGTTGTCTTTGGTGTTGTCTTGGTAGTTCTTGTTGTCGTTGATTTTGTTGTTGTTGTTGCTGTTGTTGTTCTGGTGGTTGGTTTCTGAGTTGTGGTGGCGTTGGTTGTCTTTGGTGTTGTCTTGGTAGTTCTTGTTGTCGTTGATTTTGTTGTTGTTGCTGTTGTTGTTCTGGTGGTTGGTTTCTGAGTTGTGGTGGCGTTGGTTGTCTTTGGTGTTGTCTTGGTAGTTCTTGTTGTCGTTGATTTTGTTGTTGTTGCTGTTGTTGTTCTGGTGGTTGGTTTCTGAGTTGTGGTGGCGTTGGTTGTCTTTGGTGTTGTCTTGGTAGTTCTTGTTGTCGTTGATTTTGTTGTTGTTGCTGTTGTTGTTCTGGTGGTTGGTTTCTGAGTTGTGGTGGCGTTGGTTGTCTTTGGTGTTGTCTTGGTAGTTCTTGTTGTCGTTGATTTTGTTGTTGTTGCTGTTGTTGTTCTGGTGGTTGGTTTCTGAGTTGTGGTGGCGTTGGTTGTCTTTGGTGTTGTCTTGGTAGTTCTTGTTGTCGTTGATTTTGTTGTTGTTGCTGTTGTTGTTCTGGTGGTTGGTTTCTGAGTTGTGGTGGCGTTGGTTGTCTTTGGTGTTGTCTTGGTAGTTCTTGTTGTCGTTGTTGTTGTTGTTGTTGTTGCTGTTGTTGTTCTGGTGGTTGGTTTCTGAGTTGTGGTGGCGTTGGTTGTCTTTGGTGTTGTCTTGGTAGTTCTTGTTGTCGTTGATTTTGTTGTTGTTGCTGTTGTTGTTCTGGTGGTTGGTTTCTGAGTTGTGGTGGCGTTGGTTGTCTTTGGTGTTGTCTTGGTAGTTCTTGTTGTCGTTGATTTTGTTGTTGTTGTTGCTGTTGTTGTTCTGGTGGTTGGTTTCTGAGTTGTGGTGGCGTTGGTTGTCTTTGGTGTTGTCTTGGTAGTTCTTGTTGTCGTTGATTTTGTTGTTGTTGCTGTTGTTGTTCTGGTGGTTGGTTTCTGAGTTGTGGTGGCGTTGGTTGTCTTTGGTGTTGTCTTGGTAGTTCTTGTTGTCGTTGATTTTGTTGTTGTTGCTGTTGTTGTTCTGGTGGTTGGTTTCTGAGTTGTGGTGGCGTTGGTTGTCTTTGGTGTTGTCTTGGTAGTTCTTGTTGTCGTTGATTTTGTTGTTGTTGCTGTTGTTGTTCTGGTGGTTGGTTTCTGAGTTGTGGTGGCGTTGGTTGTCTTTGGTGTTGTCTTGGTAGTTCTTGTTGTCGTTGATTTTGTTGTTGTTGCTGTTGTTGTTCTGGTGGTTGGTTTCTGAGTTGTGGTGGCGTTGGTTGTCTTTGGTGTTGTCTTGGTAGTTCTTGTTGTCGTTGATTTTGTTGTTGTTGCTGTTGTTGTTCTGGTGGTTGGTTTCTGAGTTGTGGTGGCGTTGGTTGTCTTTGGTGTTGTCTTGGTAGTTCTTGTTGTCGTTGATTTTGTTGTTGTTGCTGTTGTTGTTCTGGTGGTTGGTTTCTGAGTTGTGGTGGCGTTGGTTGTCTTTGGTGTTGTCTTGGTAGTTCTTGTTGTCGTTGATTTTGTTGTTGTTGCTGTTGTTGTTCTGGTGGTTGGTTTCTGAGTTGTGGTGGCGTTGGTTGTCTTTGGTGTTGTCTTGGTAGTTCTTGTTGTCGTTGATTTTGTTGTTGTTGCTGTTGTTGTTCTGGTGGTTGGTTTCTGAGTTGTGGTGGCGTTGGTTGTCTTTGGTGTTGTCTTGGTAGTTCTTGTTGTCGTTGATTTTGTTGTTGTTGCTGTTGTTGTTCTGGTGGTTGGTTTCTGAGTTGTGGTGGCGTTGGTTGTCTTTGGTGTTGTCTTGGTAGTTCTTGTTGTCGTTGATTTTGTTGTTGTTGCTGTTGTTGTTCTGGTGGTTGGTTTCTGAGTTGTGGTGGCGTTGGTTGTCTTTGGTGTTGTCTTGGTAGTTCTTGTTGTCGTTGATTTTGTTGTTGTTGCTGTTGTTGTTCTGGTGGTTGGTTTCTGAGTTGTGGTGGCGTTGGTTGTCTTTGGTGTTGTCTTGGTAGTTCTTGTTGTCGTTGATTTTGTTGTTGTTGTTGCTGTTGTTGTTCTGGTGGTTGGTTTCTGAGTTGTGGTGGCGTTGGTTGTCTTTGGTGTTGTCTTGGTAGTTCTTGTTGTCGTTGATTTTGTTGTTGTTGCTGTTGTTGTTCTGGTGGTTGGTTTCTGAGTTGTGGTGGCGTTGGTTGTCTTTGGTGTTGTCTTGGTAGTTCTTGTTGTCGTTGATTTTGTTGTTGTTGCTGTTGTTGTTCTGGTGGTTGGTTTCTGAGTTGTGGTGGCGTTGGTTGTCTTTGGTGTTGTCTTGGTAGTTCTTGTTGTCGTTGATTTTGTTGTTGTTGCTGTTGTTGTTCTGGTGGTTGGTTTCTGAGTTGTGGTGGCGTTGGTTGTCTTTGGTGTTGTCTTGGTAGTTCTTGTTGTCGTTGATTTTGTTGTTGTTGCTGTTGTTGTTCTGGTGGTTGGTTTCTGAGTTGTGGTGGCGTTGGTTGTCTTTGGTGTTGTCTTGGTAGTTCTTGTTGTCGTTGATTTTGTTGTTGTTGCTGTTGTTGTTCTGGTGGTTGGTTTCTGAGTTGTGGTGGTGCTGGTTGTCTTTGGTGTTGTCTTGGTAGTTCTTGTTGTCGTTGATTTTGTTGTTGTTGCTGTTGTTGTTCTGGTGGTTGGTTTCTGAGTTGTGGTGGCGTTGGTTGTCTTTGGTGTTGTCTTGGTAGTTCTTGTTGTCGTTGATTTTGTTGTTGTTGCTGTTGTTGTTCTGGTGGTTGGTTTCTGAGTTGTGGTGGCGTTGGTTGTCTTTGGTGTTGTCTTGGTAGTTCTTGTTGTCGTTGATTTTGTTGTTGTTGCTGTTGTTGTTCTGGTGGTTGGTTTCTGAGTTGTGGTGGCGTTGGTTGTCTTTGGTGTTGTCTTGGTAGTTCTTGTTGTCGTTGATTTTGTTGTTGTTGCTGTTGTTGTTCTGGTGGTTGGTTTCTGAGTTGTGGTGGCGTTGGTTGTCTTTGGTGTTGTCTTGGTAGTTCTTGTTGTCGTTGATTTTGTTGTCATTTTTGTCGTTTTTGTTGATGTTTTGACGGTTGTTTTTTGTGTTTGTGTTGGACTTGTTGTTGGGCTTTCTTTTATACATGGTCTTTTTTGATTTGTGTCTGTTTTGTATGGAAAGTCGGCGACGTAATTTCCTCTGAAATATGAATTTGAATTTTATTTCTGTGATTTTTTTTTGCGTCAATTTATTTTTTAAAATTTGTTTATCTTTATTTCTTATCGTTTATGGGTTTGTTAAGACTGTATTGTTTGCGTTTAGTTTTTGTGATATCGGCTTTAGGCCTTCGCCTTCGGTCTCTGTATTCCTTAACGTGTCTATTCATGTTTTGTTATTTTGATTTACTTACGGGTGTCTTAGACATGTGTGCCTTACATTTCGTGTCTATTTTTCATTTTTACAGTTGATTTAACAAAGGATTTTCGAATGATCTTACTTACAAATTTTGTATGGTGAGTTTTCTTGCCTGTCATCGTAGTTAAATATAGACCATTCAATGTTTTCCTGAATACTTCTTTATGAATATGATCCATATTTTTGAATAATTAGTCAATCTCAACCCAAGCATTTAGTTATGATAATAGTATAATGATCCATGAGTGAAAATGACTACTTTATTAACTATTCTTTTTTAATTCTTTTCACAGGTGGATTAAATTGAAAGTACTATTGAATACCGGGAACTAACGGGTAATTTTTCGATCTTAGTTTGCCGCTTGTCAACGGTATAGACTAACAACTTTACCGGTGATCGAACGCATGACTCTCAGGCTGTGAGGTGAGCTGGTAGGTCATTCAACCTGCAGCTCAGTACTGATTGATTGGTGAATTTTCAACTCTTTCAATCCCTAAAACTGTGCCGCCGTCAACCGACGCATCTGCGAGTATCTATCTTAACTCAAAATTTGGTGAAATTCGTCTGAGAATTGAAGTGAAAACTTCAAAAATCTACGAAATACTGTATAAAACGTAAATAAAGTGTATGTTTTGAGGTTCGATTTCTGTTTATTATAAACGTTTTATTATTCGGTCACCTTGAATGGTCAGTCATAATAAATTGCATCACTTTTAAGTATTATAAGTGAAGTGTTGTTGACGAACTGATGAGAATTTGTCTACACCTAACAGTGTGGTGAATATGTTGCTACACTTTTTGTGTCTACCAGTAGGTATTCATACAAAGTGTACAATGCAGTTCTGAGATTAGTCTTCAGTCAGTATGCTGGGAGAATGTCTAGTCGTCTGTGACTAAATCTCCATGAGTATTGGAAGTGAATTCATCTGAACAGTTTACTGGGACTATAGGTGTATATCAGTTCTAAGAATGGCTAATAATGATTTCAATGATGCTCATCATTTTCCACAGTGATGTACTTATCAGGTGTAGCAGTACAAAGTGTAAGTTAACATTAGTCAGTTTTCTGATGACTTACCCAGGGCCATAATTGCACACAATGCTCAATCTGAACGGTGAATTGGGGCATTCTGTTACACTGCATCCAATATCGGTAGTTTCTTCCCAGACAATCTAAATGAAAAACGAGTAGTAGGATGTGAATGATGTTATTCTTTAAAAGTCTGTCTGAAACATCCAACGTGTATGCCTTGTTTCAAGAATATATATTTTGTAGATAAATGGAGGAACATCTATGGGTTCACTCTTGTCATAACAAGCTCTTCAGACTCTATTTATACACCTTAGGTTAAGTACAACTTATTTAGTATTTGTCAAATGGGTGTAGAAATCGATGTACTTCATCCGAATTGATAACAGGAAGTTTAATTGTGTCTTGTAGTACAATGACACATACTTGACAATGCTGAAATTCATATCGTTGACTGATGTGTCTATTTATTTTCAAAGCTAACTGTGAAGGCTACTGAGACTTTATATACATACGTATGGTGTTAGCTAAGAAGCTATCAAACGTATTAATCATATGGTTCTGTACACATTTTTCAACTCTTACCTGTGTATATTCATTACATTGACCTTCTCCACAATAACTTCTGAAATAATCGTAATGTTTATTTTCATCCAACCATGATTTGAATCCCCTTGTTTAAAAATGAACAAAAATCAGACAAAGCACTTAAAACACTAAATTATCCAGGTGTGAATAAATGACATATTTAAATATCACTCTATGCTTTTCACTTAGTTTTCAATGGTTCTCTAACTGATATCAGTCCGTGATCAACTCGTAAAAACATAACAAACCCTTACAAACCAAACTTTAGAAAACCTAAGCAATTGTCACAATTTTTGACCGGCAAATTAAAGTAGTTCCAAGCCTATGTCCAATTCTGGTTTAATGTCATATCATAACATTCATATCTGAGCTAAAGATGGACAGTTACTCACAGAATAACTGAATTTTGACAGTATAATTACTGATTCACTTCCCACTCTGATCAAGTAGAACACAGCCATTATTTCACAAGTGGGAAGACCGGCATACATACATTGGACTGACAAAAATACCCTAAAAGATACGCAATCCGCAAGTGATTTATGTCTCACTTCTTACAAAAAAGATATATACAAGCGAATATCAACAAGATGGCGAGAGGAACGTCAAAGATGCACTTCAGGTTAATGTAGGTACGGCATCAGAGATGGAAATACCTAACAAACAATAACAGTTATCATCAAAAGGAGAAATCTAATACAAGCAGTCTGTTTCACATACGTCGGCAGCATTTTTTCAACTACAGGTGGTGCAGATAAGGGTTTCAAAGCCAGTCATTGTTGGAAAAGCAAGACAGATGGTCATTACTATGAAATCATTGTAGGCATCTACAGCACTCACTCAGCACAAGAGACAGGATCGGAATTTACAAAAATAGTGTCAAGTCTCGTGAGAGACTCGTGAGCGCGTCACTTTTATCAGTAGCTACCTTCGCTGTTTCGACAGCAAAGATCAGATGGTCAGGAAGATATAGAAGGCAATGATGACCCCTAGCAACAAACCAACCAAGAACCTATTACCTAGGAAATATGGGTAAGGAAATGCAGATGGATTGGTTATACTCCAAGCAGAAATTCAAATGACACCACACAGCAGTTCTTCGAATGGTACCTGAAACGGAAGCGATGAGTTAGTTGGGTGTGGGTTCAAGGATTACATATATAGATTATTTGAAGAGAAAATTAAAGTTTATGGACAATTCTGCAATGGGCTTCAAAAAATTACAGAGGACGATACACTAGAGATGTGTTCCTGTAGCCCTTGTACCATTTCGGAATCGAAGCGATAAACAATAAAAATAATCTTTTGTATGTGATCGTACAACAAATAAAGTAAAACAATGCTACTAATGTTTTCTTCACAAAAGTTGCTATATTTAGGCAGTCAGAATGATGTCATTTACAAGGAAGGGGAAAGACACTTACAGTTCGATTGTACTTTCACCTGCCCAATTTTGTCCAACATATGGAAATGGAGAAATTTTTCGGTCCACAGCTCTATCGTGTCCAGCACGACACTGTTCAGATAATGTTTGTGCCTTTTTCTCCAGATCCAAATTGTATTTCTGAAATTTTTAAAATTGGAATTCACTAGATGAACTTAAATCTTAATAAGTGTCAGACAAAAAACTGTTTTGGTTAATTCGTTATGCAAAGGCGTGTGGAAATAACTATAATACTCATTTAATAATTGTATCGTGCGTTGGTGGCATAGCGGTAACGACGCTCGCCGACCATGAACATGGTCCGGGGTTCGATCCCCGGCCGACGCACTCCTTTACCTCTCTAAGCCAGAATTAATGCTGGTGAAGAGTAGAGGTTGGGCATGAGGCTAGCAACCGCATCCGGTAAAATAAACACTGCTACAGAAACTTCAAGCCACTAGCTTGAAGCCCTATGTTCCACTGGGGAACGTGAAGGAAAAAAAAATAATTGTATCAGTTTGAAAATCCTGTGCCACGAATACATGTGGCGATTCTGACAACAAATAGGCATTTCGTGTTCATATATACTTCAACTATTTGGAAAATGTGAGTAAAGCCTGCCTGTTAGCATTCATCAATCGTCTACTGAATTCGTTAATGTTTTACTGTGGGCGTCACAAGTCTTAAAGGGGATTGTGTTCAACCGTGAAACATGCCAGCCTAAACATCAGCTATTAAGACATCATTGAAATTACTCAGTAGGATATATATAGTTATATACTGATTTATCTTACCATTGGTTTGATAGAAATGGCTATCGGTTGTCCTTTGAGTTGACCATTTCGAACAGTCTGTCTTACATCATTGTGAAGGGTGAGAAATTTGTTTCTCAATGTGTCGTTCATTTTCCCACTGACACGAGAAAGCAGGACCAAGCATATGCATAGTAGAATGAGTGGTGGACGTCGAATGAGATGCCTTTCTGCGGATCTTAACCTCATGTTGCATGGGAATAACAATAGGATAGCTCAACTGTTAACCGTCGAAGTGAACATTTACATGTGTATATATATCCTCAGGAGAACTAATCTGACAGATTCAAATCTCATTAGGTGACTGGAGTATTTAAACGTCAATAAGAATTATGTTTTGCTTATTAAATGTAACACAATTTGGGTCAATCGATTGGTTAGTGTTAATCTCCACAGATAAAGAATGACGTCTGTTTGAGGAATCATGATAGAAGATGGTGTTATTGCTGTGTAAGCCCCCTCCCCCCCGTTTCATGGTAATAAAGAACACCTGTTCGTATGAGGTAAAGTTTGTAAATCGTTGTACTTAAAGGTGAAGTGTATAATACCGTAATCTGTTATTAATGGTGACAACTGTCGCTTGCTATATACGAATTGAACTCAGTAAATGAAAGTCACTATAGAGACTAAAGAGCGTTTGCAGGTTTAAATAGTACACACTGTTAGCTCATGTTTTTCGCTTCCCCTGCGGATTTTCGATCGTTACATCTCACAATTATTTGTGCAGAAACCTTTAATGAACTTTGCGAGGCTTTTCTCCTTAAACAAACTAATGACTGGAGATTTTTTTAAAGAATGTTGATAAGGTCAGGATGTTAAGTGTTATCACAAGAATTCAAAATTATAAATCAGTGAGGCGGCTGAGAAACTATTACTCAACAAGTATAGAAAGGAAAATTGAGATGCATTGGACATACACTGAGTTCGCTTTCAACTACAAGGCCCTCAAGTGGTATTCGAATAGAAATCAGCGGATCGGTTGGACTTTGAAGGGTGAAATGTTTTGCAGGAGGATAATGCATTTACAAAAAAATTGAGAATCAACTTTAAAAGGTGGCAAATCTTGACAATCACATTCTAAGGAGACGTTAATTCCCATCATTGCTACTATATGCATGGTACACTTTCAAAATCTTTGATTTCTTCTTTTAAACATATATAAAGAGAAAAACAGATTCTGGGATTCGGTGTTGCAGTCTGTCATTGTAGCTCGTGAGTTTACAAGCCATCAGGTATGAATGATTTCGCATACAGTTAAGAGTCTGTTGAAACAACATTGATAGTTGTGTAGATTTCCGATATTTATCTGCGCAAATGCTTATTTCGCCTTTTCTACGAGAATGGTATTCCATTATCACATATTTCATGTTAAATCGCAGAAATGGAATGAAATGTGGAAGAGTTTAAACGAAGAAGTCATTGATTGAAAGCTGAGAACAGGTTGGTAATAGTGTGGATCTGTGAGAACACATAATCACCGCTTCACTATTCCAGTCGGGACAGCTTGATCTTTTGCAGTTAACATTGATGAGAGGCTCTGGGATATAAGCGAGTGGAGAAGAGATTTCCTCCCTTCACTCAGTAATGCTCTTGGGACGATGGGAGTGATTAAGATTTATAAAAATAAGTGTTGTTTTATACATGACATTAATTGTTTTCCCACTTCGCATTGAATTATGATTCTAATCACAAACATTTCATTTGCGTTTCATAATATATTAATTAATGTGTAACGACAGAAGGCAAGAGTCAGGCAACAGATCATTTATTAAGGAAATCAACGCATATTTATATATTTCATGTACATTACTATGGATATTTAAGTAAACAAACACAGTCTTCCAATTGGTTGTTTCTCACGTAAAGTTAATCTTTCATCTATTTGTGACTGTTTCTTGAATGTCAAATGCTCTATATGTTAACTGCATCCGCCTACGCAAAGTCTGCTGTGGTCGGTTTTGAATCAATCTTTGTTCACATTTTCTCACGACAAATCTCGCGAACGTAAATATTGACGTAAATTACTGTCTAGCAATTTGGCTAGTAGACAGCTCTCACCACAATGTATTTACACCAATAGCTCGATTCACCTATTGAATATAAATTATTAATATATATATATATATATATACATATATATATATATATGGATAACATTGCACAGCTTGATAAAGAATACCTTGAAAAAGATTCCCTTCGATCAGTTACGTGTTTGACTGCCAACATCCCAAATATTCCGAATGTCACCATTGCTTCAATTACTCGGATTTACAGTCGGTCAGTCAATCAATCGTGTGTTGTAGCACTGCTCAACCACACATCAGCTTCATCAATTATCAGGCGTAGTCACCTATCACTAAATACGTGTTTCTCATCAACAGCTTCATGAAAATCCGTCCCAGTTGACTGATTTCGAGTAAACAGAGACTGATATTCATAGGGTTGTTAATTATCATGATGCCAGCAGGAATGATACAAGCGATTGTTAGGTGGTTGCAAGTGATCGCCCAATAACCCTGACCAGTATGTGTGTCGTCTTCATTGGCACAAAATCAAACATGAGCAGAGTTGGCCACCTAAATATGCGAAGGGTTGTCGAGGTGAAGTGAAAGAGATCAACGATAGCGAAGATGTCAGTAAGGAACTGAGTTGATATGAAGACTTGTGAATGTGAACAGCATGTTAAATCTCGAAATGTGAAGGAAATTCTGAGGAGTTTAAGCGAAGGAGTCATTGACTGGGAGCTAAGAATAGGTTGGTAATGGTGTGTATCTCTGTGAACACATAATCCCAACTTCACTTTTCGAATCGCGACAACCGGATCAATTTGAGGTAGACTTGAAGATGTTAATCTGTTCACCAGCTCGATAGAATGTCATATTTGAGAAGGAGAAATATGTCATTGCTAAAGGAGGCTGATCCTCCGAAATGCCATGTCTTCCTCTGAAGTCTACTGTTTTTATGGTCTACTGTTTATCTGTCACTCTCATGTACTTTCCACCACAATCACATATGTGCACCGTTAGTGGTCGATAAATAAATACATGTTTACTAGAGTGGTAAGTGTCCTCGGATTTGATTTTGCGCAAAATATGTATGCACTCGCGAAACTAGTGGACATTAGCTAATTCTTCAGTTGATTTGTTATCGGCCAATTTACATACTTCGCTTCAGCCAATTAATTCTACATTCCATATTCCAACGAACATTGTTGGGTAGAATTACCATGGAACGAAGAATATTGACTGTTGAGATTTCTGATGTGTTCGTGAGTTTGTTGCTCAATGAGCCTTACATTCTAGGCACACATAGATCTTCAGGCTGCAGGGAATTATGCTCGAGACTTGAGAATAATACATATCAGACGATTGACAATGTTTCACATGATAATTCTGACCTGAATCGTGGTGGAACTGCAAGTCAACTTGTTATCAATCCATGTGTTTCGCATTCATCTGGTGAACGTTCGTTCAGTGAGCAGATTAACTGAGGTATTAGCCAGTTCTCGTGGACTGCTATACATCCTCGGTCATCCTTATCTATCTGAAATGAAGTGAATCACACTGTGATAATCACACAGTGATTGCCATGACGAAGATTACAACCTCACAACTCGTGAGAATTTACGGTGGATCTGGAGAAGTGGAGGATGCAATCAACACTTCAATACTTCTTTATTCACGGCAATCAACTCGTTTCCAGTTTCACGATGTGTCTGATTGACGATGCATAATATGCGAGTACAACTCAACTAAACGTTGAAAATTGATTCTTTTTGATAGGATCCCGTATGTGTAGTATAAAATCATCTCTCACGCATGTTTACATTAATTATGCGTTCAGTCATTTCTCATGGCTATGAGTCAGACTTTGTTGTTCTAAATAAAGTGTATAAATACCATGTGTTCTTTTCCTAATGGTTATTGTGATTGCAATATGCAACAACAGATTTGCCTGATCTAATTGGTTTCATGCACACAACTGCACATTTGGGGAATAACTATCTCATACTACTCAGTAAGTTTCAGTAGAGAGAAGTGATCAGTAGGGAAATGACCTGATCATGACACCAGTTGCTTACTCGAAAATCCGTCTAGAATGACGTCATTCCTGAGACATGTGAACACCAGAAATATGGCAACGGAAGTATTGGTCTCCTGCCTTCATCTTTTTGAAAATGCGTGAGGCGTGTATTGATTAGTAACTCAGAGCATCAGATTCACTGAATATTTTGTGTTTGACAATCATACATGTTGAGTGTTTGGACTGTCAGCTGTAATTCATTCTCTGATACACCACTATTCTGGATACATGGAAATCAACCTATTTACTTTTTATTCGACGATCTTTCCAATATGATTCACTTACGCATGCCTCATAATCACGTTCACACTTAGATATGAAACTTCGGAATTTCTCAAGATCACATCGTAACAGCCTCCCCTTCGATTGGACAGTTCTGCAGCAGTCGTTTCAGTTGGTTGATGGTGTGATGAAAAACTCCTCGGAATCACACTTATTCGCTATTTCTTGTTAGTGTATAATTCATGTGGATGCACAGAGTAAGTGTTGAACTTAATGTGTTTGATGTAGTTACTACTTCCAGTTCTGTATACCACTGCTTCGGTATTAACCTCTCCTGGTTCACTAGTTGGTCCTAAGCCCGTATAAAGAGAAAACGCTGGGTGTGGGGCCAGTGACCCTACGTCGGTGAATCAACCCAATCGCCACAGGAACCTCAAAGCACAGAAAAATACAAATGAAGAAAATTATCCTTCACTAGGACGGGAGGGAGAAAATGACGTGGTGTGGTGAAGGCTTTCTGCAGGGCAGTCAGTCTATGTGTCTTCTTTCGATGAATGCAAAAATAAACACGGGGACATGGAATGTTCACACGAAGTCTGAAGTTGGGAAGGCTGCTCAGACTGAAAAAGAAATGAGAAGATATGGCGTAGAAGTGTGAAGCAGTCTCCTCCAGGATAACG